GTTTTGTTTGGTCAAAGAACATTCATTTTTAGAAAGTATATCTAACTAAAAATGTGCCACAAATCACAAATACTTGATCGTAGCTATAGAGGGCGTTTTCCAAATGTTAAACGACATATTTTCGATTTTTTTTTGTATAAACCCGGCATGCATGTAACTACCTAATAGCTTGTTCAAATAAATATATAAACGTATTTTCGGGTATCAAACATAGAATGCCAGGACTAACAACACAACTAGACAAAAGTATGTCATCTGAATAAATAGCAGACGACGACAGAAATTTAGTGGCGCCAACTTGTACATGCATCGTTCTTTTTTGGGGGGATTCACTTTTCTTTGCAAAGTAACAGAAACAAGAAACATGACCATATTTTTGACAACGACAAACATAATTATAACAACCCAGTAAGCATACATAACAACATATTTTTGAAATATATGGAAACCTTTTCACAAGATTATGCATATCTACACATGGCTTTGCACAATGACGCAGCTATTTATATTTTTAGATTAAGAGCATTATACTACTATTAGCTTTAATACAGAGGTACGTCCAATATACGCCACGTATTCAGTAGAATATCAACGTTTTAACTTGAGTTTCGCTCTATCGAAAATTGTCCGAAGTCCTGCAGTAGTATTAAGGTAAATAATTGTTATACTGCATATTGCATATTTAGCCAATGTCACACACTGCTCGGAAATGCTAAGCACCTGACAACCTTAAAATAAGAAATATTATTGTACTTGCCAATATGGTATCTATTGATTTATATTGTTATAGGAGTGAAAACATATCACGCGTTACTGTAGTGTTTCAAATTACCATGAAAACAGAGCAGTTGTGAAAATTAAATAATCGTAATTGATTGAGGGCGAAACAAATTATTATATTGTTCATCAATTATGTATTTCAGATGTGTGTTTTTTTACAAAAAGCTATGTATGTTCATGTAATTTATTGTGGCAATGTCTGCTAGCTCGTGAGAACTATCTCTGGCGGCTTTCGATTTTTAACTCGAGTGACGAGTTTAACTCGCATTGAACCAAAATTTATATATTATTAGAAACATTAAACTATAGTCTTCTTAAATATATGTGTGTTCAGTGGTTTTACGTACGCCCTTCTTTCAATTTTTAGGTCGGCATTTCCATTGCCAATAAACTATTCTGTTTTAGTCGCATTGCCCCCAACTCAAACCACAACACTTTGGTAAATAATCAATGAAATAGTTTGTCTGGACACATTCAAGTTCCTCTCATTATCACCTTGAGCTGTGAAAATTTGGTGTTAATCCGACGACAATAAGTATACGTTATTTTTTGTTAAAGACCTTGTATTTTGAAAAACATAAACTCCTAGAAAACGTCGATGAAGTCACAGCAAAGATTTTCAAGCTTGTTTATCTGCACAAGCGATTTGTTTTCCCATCAAGGTCTGTTTTAACATGTGTAGGGGCATCCAAATGTGTAAGGCTATTGGAAACCAAAAAAGTAAAAGGAATGGAATAGATATTGTTCAATAAAATCGCCAGATGAAAACACCAAAATTACCTTGTGTCAGACACGTTCATATGCAAATGACTAATTTGTGAAATAATCAGGGGCGGAGACAAACCACTCAAATGTTTGGAAACACTCATTGTGTGTCAGATAGCTATTGATAACACACCCTAACATTGCTTTGTTTTGAGTTAATCTTTGAAATTTATAGGCACACAAAATAAACCTGTGTTGTTGATTTTGAAAAACAATACTGAAGCTGCCTTGCTTCCCTTTAAAAAAATCGACATTTTAACCAACTTACATGACATTCTAAGTTACGTTGACTTTATCAGATGAAAGTTTATAGTGCATTTCATCAATTAATAAATATATGTGAAAATCGTAATTTTCAACACAAATAATAGTCTCGCTACCTTAAGTGAATCATCTAAATAGTACAAAATATGGTGTCCAAAATAATAGATTTTTTTGAAACAGGGATAATTACTGACATCCCTGTGGTGCAAATGGTTTGGTTGCTATCAGCGCGATTCAAAATTAGAGCAAATCATTAATATGCTGGTATAGTAACTAGCAGTACTACTAAAACGTCATACAATTATAATCTTTTGTGTTTTTGAAGTTTACATACATTATGTTCATGTTGTCGATAAAACAAATTCTACCTCATTGGTTTACCTCGACCTTTTCTTTTATAAACATTGATTTGAAAAGCAAGACATCAATATAGCTGACTCGCCATGCCGTACATAGAAACAGGAATTAACACATTAAAAGACAACAACAATGCTAAAATAGTGATGACGGACATTAGCCATATTGCGGACACCGAGCTATCAACACAGTTGTCATCTGCGAAATGAAAAAAATGTATATATATATATATATATATATCAGCGTTTGTGACAGCTAATAATTGATAGGAAATACGATATTTTACAAAAATATCAATGGGTAAATGATAGTAGTCATAGGCAAAACAGTCACTGAGCGGACTTTTGAAGGCTCACTGAAAACACTAGTGTGTATTGTTAATAATGTTATTCTTTTCTCAGAAAGAATATGTTTCAAATTAAATATCGGTCACCTGATTGGTGTTATTTTATTTTCTCGGTGGCCGGCGATATTTTAACATTACCATGAAAACAGAACAGCTGTGCAAAATAAATAAACGTAATTCATTCAGAACGAAACCAATTAATATATTCTTCACCAAATTTGTATTTCATATCTTTTTTTTATAAAAAAAACTATGTATATTCATGTAATTTATTGTGGCAATGTCCGCATTGATCTCATCTTTATATATTATTGGAAACATTAAACCATAGTCTTCCTAACTATATATAAGTTCGGTGGTTTCACTGACGCACTTCTTTCAAATTTTAGAAAGGCATTTCTATTGCC